TTAATGTACAGAAAATAGAAATTGAAGCTGAAAATAAAAGATTTTTCAGGATGTAAAAAGCTCAACAGACAAGATTTTTAAAAACTCTAGAGAATGCTATGGAAGACCAAATGGAGAATCAAATTATTGACCTAGAAGGTAATGCACAGACAACCCAGGTAGAAGAAGAAAGAGAAATAGGAAAGAGGGGTGGGAAGAGATGAAACACTTCAAGAACAATCTGACTCCATTAAGAAAGCCAACATAAGGATAATGGGCATCCCAGAAGAAGAAGATAGAGAAGAGCGAACAGAAGGTGTATTTAAAAAAAAAAAAAATAGTGGAAAACTTCCCAAACCTGGGGAAAGAATTGAATATATAATTGAAACTAAAAGAACACCTGTTTATCTAAATGTGATGAGACCTACACCAAGACGCATTTTAGTAAAACTACCAAGATTTCAAGACAAAGAAAGAATATTAAAGGTGACTAGGGGCTTCCCTGGTGGTGCAGGGGGTTAAGATGCAACCTATGAAGCTATCTGCAACCATGGCAGAATGAGTTCAATCCCTGGCCAGGGAGCTACTTACATGGCACAGCAGACCTCTCCTGACTTGCCCGTTGCTCCCCTCAGCAGTGTATTTCAGTCAATCTGCCTGTTCTGTTCCCCACTCTCTCTCTGGTGAATCCTCTCATCCCCCCCACCTCTGGCCTGTACCCCAGTTCTTGTATGCATACATAAATAAATCTTTAAAAAAATTAAAAAACAAAGGTGACAAGGGTGGAAAAGGCAATCTATTAAAGTTTTCTAGTCTCATCCATCAGGCTTCCAAACCTACAGACAAGGAGAAAATAGAATGACTATTCAAAATACTTAAAGATAGAAACTGTCAGCCAAGACTACTATATTATGCATGAATCTCTTGCAAAATGAGGGAAAAATAAAGACCTTCCCAGACAAATAAAAGCATAAGGAGTTTGCAAACACTAAGCTTCCCCTATAAGAAATGTTGAAAGTTCTCCTATCTAAATGAAGTATGTAGAGACCAAAAAAATACTACTGAATGACTATTGGATGAATAAGGAAATCAAAGGAGAAATTAAAAATATGTGGAGACAAATAAAAATGAAGACATAAGCTACTAGACCCAGAGGAGGCAGCAAAAACAGGACTAAGAGGGAAATATACAGTAATACAGGCTCACATCAAGAAACAAGAAAAATTTCAAATAAATAATCTAATCTTAGCCTCAACTAGAAAACAACAAACAAAATGAAACCAAACAGAAGGATGGAATAATAAAAAATCACAGCAGAAATAAATGAAATACAAATCAAAACAAGGGCTCAAAAGACCAATGAAACCAAAAGCTTCTTTGAAAAATAAAGAAAATAGACAAAACTCTAGCTGGCTCACAAAGAAAAAGAGGGAGCCAACACTAATAAACAGAAATAAAAATGAAAGAGAAGTTACAACAGACATCTCAGGAAAAAAACAGAGATCAAAGAGATACCATAGGTCAAAAAACAAATTCTTAGAAGCATCCAACCTTCCAAGACTGAATCAGGTAGAATTAAAAATCTGAACAGACCAATTATAAAAAAGGAAACTGAAACAATAATCAAAAGTTTCCCAAAAATCAAAGCCTAGGACCAGATTCTTCCACTAGTTAGTCCTACCAATCCTTCAAAAATGTACAAATACTTACCTTTCTCAAACTTTTCCAAAAACTGAGAAAGAAGGAATGCTTCCAAGCATGATTTGTAAAGCCAGCAAAAACTGGTATAAAAAGCAGAAAAGGACATCTCAAAAATGAGAAAAAATACAAACCAATATCCCCAATGAACACACATGCAAAAATCTTCAATAAAATCTTAGCAAACTGAGTTCAACAAAACATTAAAAGGATCATACATGATGATCATAATGATCATAAAACCCTGGGATTTATTCCAGAGACATAATGATGGTTCAATATCCACAAACCAATCAATGTAATTTCTACATCAGTAAAAGGAAAGACAAACGTCATTATTAATAGATGGAGAGAAAGTTTTAGGTTAAGATTCAACATCCATTTATGACAAAAAGCTCTCAATATATGGAACTAGAAGGAAAATGCCTCAACATAGTAAAGGCCATTTATGGGGAGGAGGGGGAATCACAGCTAACATATCATACTCAATGATGAGAAATGGAAAGCTTTTCCTGTAAGATTAAGTATAAGACAAGGATGGTCACTTTCACCACTAGTATTCAAGATAATCTTACCTAAAGTGATTAGTCAAGAAAAAGATATGAAAGGAATCCAAATTGGGAAAGCAGTGAAACTAGCATTGTTAGCAGATGGCATAAAATATACATAGAAGACCCTAAAGACTGCACACACAAAAAAAAATGATTAGAAACAATAAGTCAGTACAGTGAAATCATAGGCTACAAAATCAATATACAAAAATCAGTTTTGTTCCCAAAATTAAATAACTAGAAGAAGACTTAACAAAAGAAGTGAATGATCTGTAAAATGAAAACTGTAACTCTTAATTAAAAGAAATACAAGACACATGGAAATGAAAAGATATCCCCTCCTCAGGGATTGGAAGAATTAAAATTGTTAAAGAGACAATCTTACCCCCCAAAATATGCAGTCAATGCAATCTTTTTCAAAGTTTATTACAATCTTCACACAGAAATAGAACAAACATTACTGAAATTTATATGAAACCATAAACAATGCTAAAGAGCTAAAACAATCCTGATGAAAAAGAAGTATTATCATACTTACAGGCTTCAGACTAAACTACAAAACAATATGGTATTGGAATAAAAAATAAACATAAACCAATGGATGTAATTGAGCGCCCAGAAATAAACCCACACTTACATGGACAGTTAATCTATGACAAAAGCTCCAAGAGAAAGGGAAGTCTCTTCAACAAATGATGTTGGGAAAACTGGACAGGCCTATGCAAAAGAATGAAACTAGACCATTATTCTCACACCATATACAAAAATTGATTCAAATTGAATGTAAGACATGGATGTAAGACCAGAACCATAGAATACATAGAAACATATGTAAAACATTCCCTGACATTGGTTTCAGGACTGTTTGGGGGGACTAGACTTCAACAGCAAAGGAAACAAAAGCAAAAATAAATGGGATTACATCAAACTAAAAACCTTCTGCACAGTGAAAGAAATTATCACTAAAATGAAAAAACCCTACCCCGATGGGAGAAAATATTTGAACATCATATATCTTCCCAATCAAAATATGAGCAGAAGCGCTAAATAGATATTTCTCCAAAGAAGACATACAGATGGCCAACAGACACATGAAAAAATGTCCATCATCACTCATCATAGAATCAGAGAAATGCAAATCAAAATCACAATGAGATAATCACCTCACTGCTTTGCAAAGAACCCATATCAAAAAGACCAGAAACAACAAGTGTTGTCCAGAGTGTGGGAAAAAACAAATCCTCATTTACTGTTGATGGGAATGTAGATTGTTCCAGTCCCTATGAAAACAGTTTGGAAATTTCTAAAAACATTAAAAATATATCTGCCCGATGATCCAGGAATTCCACTCCTAGGTATCTTCCCAAAGAACAGAAAAAACATGGTATCAAAGGGATATATGTACTCCAGTGTTCAGTCTCTCTATTTACAATGGCTAAGCTATGGCAACAAGTTGAGTACGCAACAACATATGAGTGGATAAAGAAGATGTGGTGGATACAGAATAGAATACTATTATTCAGCCATAAAATAATAAAATGTTGCCATTTGTGACAACTTGGATGGAACTGGAGCATATTATGCTAAGCAAAATAAGTCAGAGAGAGAAAGACAAATACCTGATGATTTCAGTCATGCATGGAATATAGAGAAACAAAACAAAGAAACCGACGAAACTAAACAACACAAAACCTAGAAATTGACTATAGATTTGAGGCTATGAGAGGGCATGGTCAAGGTAGGTCCAAAAGCAGAAGTGGACCAAATGGACTATGGCCGAGGATTATGGGTGGTGGGTGAGATGTGGTGACACACATCTGAAGAGTTGTGAGCCTATACCTCTGACTCAAATACAGCATTGTAAACCAATGGTTCCTTAATGAAAATAAATAACATTTTTTAAAATGCACACTACACCACATGAAAACTAAATATCGTATGATTCAGAACAAGCAAATATATAGAGATAGGAAGTAAATTAGTGTATGTCTAGGACTGGTGGAAGTAGAGATAGGAGGATGAGGAGTGTCTGCTGACAGATATAGGGCATATGTGCAGGGTGTGATGAAAATACTCTGAAATAGAAGTGACAGTCGTATAATCTTGTGATTATGCCAAAGACCTCTGAAATGTATACTTTAACTTTATAGTAGATAAATAATAGTTCAGAGTTGTTAAGAAAGTAATAGCATTCATATGTACAAACAGTAACTAGTTAGAAGTGAGATGGAAATGAAAACTCCATTTACAATCAAAACAATATTTGGCATACATTGGCAAAACCTAAAACTGTCTTCAAAGATACAGTTGTGAATCTGGATTTAGCTGGTTTTCTTTAATAGATTTTTATGTGTGCCTCTCAATATAGAAAGCCTCCATTTTGACTGGAAATAAAGTCTGGAAAACATATAATTTTTTTTCAAGATGCGGGAAATGGATACCCAAAACATTCCTAATAATCTACTTTATTACTACTGTCTAATAAATGTATTTTATGGAAATGTAATTTTTATTAAAACATGATTGAATAATAAGTTTAACTCTCCATCAAAAAGTATAGACCTCAATGTTAAAATTATTTTGCAAATATTTTATTGTCATGTTTGTTTTTTAATTTTTGGTTTTCTTAAGAAACTAATTGGGATCATTTATCTTCAACAAGAGAGAAAAAATTCTATTTGGTGATCTGAAGTCCTTCTAAAATATTTGTGAAAAAAATTTTGCTTGATACAGAATGATCTTAACTGATGAATTACTGTCTTGTTTTGAAAGCCTCACTGTTAGAAACCAAGAACAGATACCCAGGAGAGCATCCCAAGAGCTCAGAAGGGAAGACCTTCCGACCTGTGAAGAAAGGTGAAATCTCACATTAATTTATTTAATAAATTGACAGAAATACATGTCTTATTAAATTTTTGTTGCATTATATGTTTCAGCAAAACAACTCCTCAAATGCAGTTTAATATTATCAAATCAAAATATGACACCACATCTTTACTCTGCAATTCTTTCATTGTATGGCAGAAAAATCAGTTCCTTTATTAATGTAACCACTGCTGATCACAAATATAAATTGCTGTTCCTTGAAAAATATATGAATTTATTTTATATTTATATGACATACTTTTAAAAATAAAAGTTCATAATGAAACATTAGTTTACAGGAGTATTTTAAAAGTCCATTTTTTCTTAAGTGTATATTTATACTTTAGTTAATGTATTATTTTTTAAGTATGTCAGGGAAAAAAACCCAATTACTTTTCATATTACCAAATTATAAAACTTTTTCCTTATCAATTAATTTACTTTCATTCAACTATTCCTTTACCTTTTCTTGGCATTATGACTATGTAATTGCATATATTAGACAATGTCCAAAAAGCATTGATAAAATAGGTCTTGTATTAGAATTCCTTACTGTTGAGGAGAAAATAACAAGTGGCCCATAAGTTTATTTAAATATTTTTCTTTATTCTCTATCTTAATAGCTTTATCAAGATTTTTCAGAATTTTTGCAATTTATGAGTTTGTTAAAAACAGCTTTAATTACATATCCCAGTATACTGTAATACAAAACTTGAAGATGACTATATCTAGAACCAGGGTGCCTACATGTAGTCCTGGTTCTTCCCATTGAGTAAGGAAAGCACTGAGAATAGAATTGGGCAAAAGGCAAGCATCCAGCACATGTTAAACATTATTTTCTCTCAATCATATTTAAATAATAATATAAAACTTTATTTTGATGACATTGGTTTCCAATTTTAATTAGATATTGATATATTATTAGCACTAGCCTCCTATATCTTTGCATATTTGTCTTTAATTTTTATTAATATTTTATTTACCTCCCCCAATTCATATTATATTGTATTTTGCTCATTTGGTTCCATTTGAATCTTTATCATGAATTAGAATCTAATTATATTGGGTCATGAATTAGAATCTAATTATATTGGGTCAGTTGTTTTGATGATTAGCAATATATCTAATTTTATAGCATATTCTTTGATTGTTTGTAATACCCCCTAATTATTATTTCCTTTCTTCCTGTATTAATTGTGCTTTCTTCATTTTTATATTATTCAGTATTATGGAAAGTATATACTCATTTTTTCAAAAAATACACTACTGATTAATTTTTTCAAAATAATTTGCTCATAAGAATTTCTTAAATTGACAGGAGTGAAATGATATCTTTTGAATCCTTATATTTGAGAGATTAATTTAACATACCTTAAATAAGCCTCATCAATTTAAGTAACCTTTCTAAAAATAGCCCAAGACTTTTACATGGTGGCTTTATTGTTTTTAGATTATCTTTTAAATAGTTTTTTAAACCTGTTTTCTTTCAAAACCAAATTTCCAAATTATGGTAGATACTTTGTTTTCATATGGGATACTATTTTGATGATGAAAAGTTCAGATGCCAACTATTATAAATAAAAGTCAACCAACACACAAATTTATAGTAAAAGCTTAGTCCTTCTCTTATTCCAGACTTTGTTTCAATCTCCAGTTAGAACTGCCACCAAAAATTTCTAAATATATTCTCAAAGAAATTTCCCGTGTGTTACATATTCTGGTCTGTATAAACACACTGAGATAAGCTCTATGTACATACACTGAATCTCATTTTGAAGCTAAACTTAAAACTATTACTTAGACATCTGTGTTTATTTTCTTGGCTGACTACTCTCTTCCTATAACCTACTTTCTCTGGTCTTGAGCTTTTTATTTATGTTTCATTGCTGGGTCAACTGTAACTCTTCTTCAAGTTACGATTTCAAAAATAGAATTTACATTTTGGACCTTTGTAGGTGAAAGAGTATTCTCCTATGACCTGCATAATTAGGATATTAATAGCATATAAAATTCTGTACATCAAAACTAAGTAGGGGGGTCTCCCCTGGTGGCGCAGTGGTTGAGCACTGGGTTGCGAGGCTGCCCGCAGCCTCTGCAGCGCCGGTTCAATCCCCGGCCGCCGGCGAGGGTCCCACATGGCGCGCAGACCTCTCCTGCTGCGCCCGCTGTTCCCCTCAGCAGTGTATTTAGGTCCTTCTGCCTGTTCTTCTCCCCGCTCTGGCTCTGGTGAATTCTCTTGCCCTCCCACGCTTCTGATTGTACCCAGTGCTTGTATAAATAAATAAATAAATCTTAAAAAAAAAATTAAAAAAAAAAAAAAAACTAAGTAGGGGGGGTTTGGCAGTGTGAGAATAGAAACTCTGAGGTCCTTCCTAAGACTGAACAACAGATTTTGCATAAATCTGAAATTTTTGTATTTCTGGGCTTACAGAAAGTAAGGAAAATGACAAAGCACATTACAAATACAGCCATATAAAAATAAGCAAAACTTCAAAGAGTGACTGCTAAGTACAGGAAAGAAAGGTCTTTCTCTTCTCATGGCATCATTGCTGGAGGCTGACAGGAGGTGAGGGCAGGAGTGTTGAAACTGAGATTCCAAGATTAAGCCCTGATTCCTGAGAGCAGCAGAAGTGGTCCTGGTACCTATCAGATCTCAGAAGAAGAAAATACACATATTTTCTTGAGAAAAGAAAACATTGCCAAGGATTAAGACCAACTAAAATTATGAAACTAAAAAGAATCAGTCCACCACAAATGAGATCCAGTAGAAACAACATTCAGATTTAGATCCCAAAGGACTTCAAATAATAGAATTATCTATCATAATAAGTATTGGGTCCTGAAATATTTAAAACAATTAAAAAGATGAACTCACAAAAGTCAGTATGCAGAGTTTAACTATCGAAAATGTCCAGGAGGATAGTGACAAATTGTACTATAGTTTTAAAACTTGTCATTGTGGGAGAAAATTTGGGCAAATGTACATGCGTTGTTTAACATAAAGAGCAACTTTTGCCTCATTCTGAAAGAGGAACCAGGAAAATAGTCTGTATTCTTTTTTCTTAACATTTTTTTTTTTTATTTATACAATAGCTGGGGTTTAGGCGAGAGGCTCAGGAGGGTGAGAGGATTCACCAGAGACAGAGTGGGGAACAGAACAGGCAGACAGACCGAAAGCACTGCTGAGGAGAGCAGCAGTTGGGACAGGAGAAGTCTACCACGCCATGTGGGTATCTCCCTGACCAGCCGGGAATCAAACCCGTGCCTCAGAGGCTGCAGACAGCCTCACAGCGCTGCGCTCAACACACTGTGCTACTGTGGCAGCCCAACTTTTTAATATTCTTGGAGGCCAAAAATCAACACCTTTATTGAGACTAGAAGTCCAAAGCATGGTGTTATCATGGTCATGCTCTCTGACAACTCTGGGGAGAATCCTTTCTTGCCTCCCCTTCTTTCTGATAGTTGTCAGCAATAAATGAAAATATATACTGTACTCAAGGACTGAAGAATTAATATTGTGGAAATACCCATACTACCCAAAGCAATCTTTAGATTCAATTCAATCCTTATCAAAATCCCAATGGTGTTTTCCAAAGAAATAGAGCAATCCTAAAATTTATGTGGAACCACAAAAGACCCCCAAATAGCTGAACCAATCATAAGAAAGACCAAAGCTGGAGGTATCATACTTCCTGCTTTCAAACTATGTTACAATGCTATAGTAGTCAAAACAGTATTGTACTGGCATAAAAACAGGCACAGATCAACAGAACGGAATAGAGACTCTAAAGGAAACCCCATAAAAGATAGCCTTTTCCATAAATGGTGTGGGGAAAACTGGACTTTCATAAGCAAAAGAAGGAAGTTAACATTGTCTTACACCATACACAAAAATAACTTAATATGGATTAAAGAAGTGAATGCAAGACCTGACACCATAAAACTCCTAGAAGAAAATATATGTGGTAAACTCCTTGACATGGTCTTGGTAGTAATTTTTTGGATCTGATTCCAAAAGCAAATGTAACAAAAGCAAAAATAAACAAGCGGGACAATCTCAAACTAAAAGGCAAAGAAAACCAGCAAAGAAAACCATCAACAAAATGAAAAAGCAACCTACTGAATAGGAAAAAATATTTAGAAATCTTTTAAGGGGTTTATATCCAAAATATGTAAAGAACTCATACAATTCAATAACAAATGAACAAAAAATCTGATTAAAATGGGCAGAGTATATGAAAAGACATTTTTCCAAAGAAGACAAATGAAAAACAGATGTTTTTATGTGAAAAGATGTTTAACATCACTAGTCATCAGGAAAATGCAAATCACAACTATGATGCCAGCTCACACCTGTTAAATGACAGTTATCAGAAAGGTAAGAAATAACAAGTGTTGGTAAAGATATGAAGAAAAGGGAACCCTGTGCACATTTGATAGGAATATAAGTTGGTACAGTCACTACAGAAAACAGTATGGCATTTTCTCAAAAAATTAAAAGTAAAATAATTTTGATCTAGCAATTCCACTTCTGAGTTTTTACCCAAAGAAAACAAAAACACTAATTTAAAAAGATATATGAGTCCCTATGTTTATCAAAACATTACTTACAATAGTTGTATCATGAAAACAACCAAAGTTTTCCTCAATGGTATATATGGTAAAAAAAAAAGGTGATATGATTGATACACACACACACACACACACACACACAGGATACTATTCAGCCATAAAAAATTATAAAGTCTTGCCAATTTTAACAAGGTAGATGGACCTTGAGTCATGGAGATGTACTGTACAATATGGTTACAATAGTCAACAACAGCATTATAAATTTGAAAATTGCTAAGAGAGTATCTCTTAAAGTTCTCATCTTAAAAAAAGAATCCCATAACTGTGCATGGTAATGGGGGAAAAAAGGAAAAATAATATTGTATTGAATATTTGAAAGTACCTAAGAGAGTAAATTTTAAAAGTCCTCATCACAACAAAAATAAAGAAAAAAAATGTAACATGAGGTGAGAGATGTTAACTAGATTGTGTGGTGATCACTTTATCATGTATACAAATATTGAATCATGTCATGTACCTGAAAGTAATATATGTTATATGACAATTATGCATCAATTTCTTAAAAATTTATTTATTTATACAAGCACTGGGTACAGGCAGAAGCACAGGAGGGTGAGAGAATTCACCAGAGCCAGAGCAGGGAACAGAACAGGCAGACTGATGAAACACACTGCTGAGGGGAACAGCGGGCGCAGCAGGAGAGGTCTGTCGCACCATGTGGGACCCTCGCCAGCACCCGCGCCCAGCGCTCAACCGCCACGCCACCAGGGCAGGCCCTGCATCAATTTTTTTAAAAAAAGAAAATTCTCCAAACTAAATAAAATTCTCCAAACTAAATTCTCCAAACCAAATAAAGCATAGAGTTTCCTAGGAGTGGTGAACATGGAAGTGGCACGCAGGGTATGTTCCTGGCTGGTATGGTAAAGGGTGAATTCCTAAGTGTTTATTTCATTGTTACCTTTTATAATTTGCATTTACATAACATCTTTTTTTCCCTCTAAAATTTTAGCAGAATTTTCTAAAATACTAAATAGATACTGGCTATTGCTGTCATATTCCACTATTGTGGGAAGTTAGTATGGTCAACTCTGATTAGCTCTGTCGCAGGTGATGGGGAGTTTTTTAGTTATAGGATTTTTCTTTACATTTATAATTTAAGTGATGCCAAGAGGTGGCTAGATGTAAACAAGTATGTTCTTAGCAGTTGTTCTAGCAAATTGGTCTGTAAGAATTTCTCTAGTAGCTATGCATTCTAGCTAAAGAATTTGAAAATAACACACTCAGGTATTTGTGCCAAAGGCTTAGGAAATGAGACACTCTTTCCATTTCCTAAAGAGCTTAAGGGCATACTTTCATTCTCAGAGGGAAAAAGATATGTTTCAAGTGATGAAATTCAAATTAATTATCAATAACAGAATTCCCTTTGCTTCTTTTCTTTGGTTTCTGCTAAGCCCAAGTCCTACTCTGGAAGAAGTCCACTCCTGGGCTCTGTCATTCGACAAGTTAATGCTCACCCCAGCAGGAAGGAATACTTTCCGTGAATTCCTCAGAACAGAATTCAGTGAAGAAAATATGCTTTTCTGGATGGCATGTGAAGAACTGAAAAAAGAGGCTAATAAAAACATTATTGAAGAGAAAGCAAGGATAATATACGAAGACTACATTTCTATTCTTTCTCCTAAAGAGGTGTGTATATACTCACCAAAAGATTTTCTCCCAAGGCCATTGGTAAAATTACCCCTTCAGTGTTTGGTCATGACTCCACCCACTATTCATAGTAGATAAATCCCTTTGACCAGGGTCCTACAAATGGGTTCCAATGCCTCTGAAAATCTAAAGATTTTTGTGCACCTTCCTGGAATAAAAAGTGTCCATACCTCTCATCAGTTTCTTCAGAAGGGTCGTCTATGCACTTCTATGTTAACACTGTTTAAAATTATTACACCCTATAAACATTTCTTATTAAAAAATATATTCTTTCATTCTATACAAAGCCTTTCATATGGGTATTTTTATTTTATATAATTATGGCACCACTAATATGATATTGATGTTACAGAGGTTTTCCCAGGGCATCCTTTTTTCATATTAAAGAGATACCAGGTGAGTCAAATCAAGCAAGTTTTTGTTCCTTCAAATCTAAAATCTAGAATATTAGGTTGGTCTCAAAATTAGGTGCCTTATAGTTCTCATTATAAAATCATGCATTCATTTGTACATGTGCCACTAAGAATGTAAAATGAATAAAACAGACCTCTCCCAACAGGGACCTCACACACCAGGGTAAGACAGACATGGAGCCCCTGGTGAGCTGATGGGGTGTCCTAACAGGGGCAGGTGGAGTGAGCTATCAATAGTAGGAGAGTTGGGAATAAAGAAGAGGTCCTGGAAGAGGCTGTAGATGGACCAAGGATAATAAAAAGGAAATTACAAAAACACAATAGGATGAAGACCTAGACCTTGTAATAGATGGGCCAAGAATAAAAGCACACAGATTAAAAAAAAAAAAAAAGACAGAACAATCTATGGGAGCTTGGGATGGATTTCTAAAGAGAAGTGAATCTAATAGAACTCATTTCTTTGTGTTGACAGGTCAGCTTAGACTCCCGAGTAAGAGAAGTCATCAACAAGAACATGGTGGAACCTTCCCAACACATATTCGATGATGCACAACTTCAGATTTACACCTTAATGCACAGAGACTCATACCCCCGATTCATGAACTCTTCTCTCTATAAGGATTTGCTTCAGTCCTTATCTGAGAAATCAGTTGAAGCATAGGATGTTATCAAATATATTTATTATTAATAAAATAATAAAAGAACTCAAGGACCACATCTAGTACAGGGAATTTAGAGATAGTGGGACCTCCTGCTGGAGTAATACTGGGGCTATTTTAATAACAGATGCTTCCTTCTATAGATGGCTAGATATTCACAATGTAAATTGCAGCAGCCTTTAGTGATACTCTTTTTTTATTTTAATGGGGTATGACTATTTTAAAAAGATAGTGTTTCCATTTACAACACCAATAGCATGTTCTCAACGACAAAGGACACACTAGAAGCTCCATACTGCCTAGAGCATGTCTGGCTACTGGAGCAAACAGGACCCCTTCACCATTTTGCATGAGTTCAGTACCTGATTACTCTTCCCCCAAAGCAAAGATAGTCAAGTGTCTCTCAGCTACTCCTCCCTTCCATCAAGCTCAGTTTTGAACATTTCACTTTTTGATGCCATTATGCATCAAACCCAAATACTCATTTTATAAAGATGTGACTACTACTTTAAAAATATACCAGTGTCTAAAAATATACATATGTAGACACATATGTTTGTATCTATATATGGTTAGTGTAAAGTACTGTTCTCTTATGTGGATCAGTCTTAAATGTTTGGTAAAAGAAGTAGTGCTTAGAAAATTCTTTTGTTGAAAAGTTACTGTTATCAGAATCTGCCAACCTAAAGAATGGAATTTATAACTTCACAACTTAGTCATGTTCATAACTTTCAAATAAGCGTATTTCCATTTTTATTATTGAAAGAAATATGGGCATTTTCCCTCTAAAAAATAAAGCACAAGAATTTTATCTCAATCTTTTTTTTTCAGATGTAAATATTTGGGAAATATAAGATTAAGTAAGTAGGAAGACATACAAGGTATCTTTTAGCTCCCTGACTAGGATCTTGTTTAATCCCACTATTTTATCATTGGCAAATTGTTAACTTTATGACTTATAGGTAAAAATGTTGGCTTGTACCCTACACCATCCAAAGAAATCCATCACTACAATGAATGGGAAAGACATTCACAGTTTGGACTGATTTCAGCAGTGGGTTAGCAATTAATTTGAGGGCAATTAATAAGAGGGCAAATTAATTGGCCTCTTAAGCCCTATGTAGGACAGGCTCCTCTTGGTCATTCCCTAACCCAGACCTCAGCTTGATGATTTCATTACTCTCCTTAGGCCCCTCACCTGAAACCCTCACCCTCATTCTTGGCAAACCAGTTTACCGCCTACATGAAAACTTCCCCCAATACCTTCTTCTTCCCATGTAACCTATAAATATGTATAGATCAACATCTGTTCTCACCTTCTTCCATCCAGTCCCCAAAAAAGTGTTCCTTCTCCCTTTCAAAGCATCACTCCTTTGCTATAACTTAGTCTCACTTTTTCCTTTAACATAAAGGATATAGTTATGGTGAAGGCATAAAGCCTGCCATTCAGTCAGTAGTTTACATTCAAGGAAGGGCAGCGGATGTAACCATGTCAGCTATAGTCAGGACCACTGACTGGAACAGGAGCATACTGAACTATGAAATCTTGAAGGGCTATAGAAAGATTTCGGTGAAGCTCCAAAATTAAAACCTACAGAACAAGAACAGTATGTGTGTTAAGGGGCGAGGTTGTAGGGAAGATATTCTTAATTGAAGCAAACCCAAATAGGTCCAGCTGTGGACATGCAGAGTACAAGATAACATAGGAAAAATGTCGAGAAACCAATTGAATGGAGGGTCCAGTGTGGTCCAGTCTGGGTTGACGTGCTGATTTGCTATTTTTAAGCACACAGATGAATGAGATTATCAAGAGAGTTGTAGTCTTAAAAAGGGCTGAGGGTAAATCCTTGTAAGGATGGACAAACAAGGGCTCCCAAGGGAGAGTTAGGATTCACCTCTCAATACAGCTAGGAAGCAAGCCAGGGATGTGGGGAACACAGTAGCAAATAAATGGGTGTGTAATCAGAGGACAAAGGTCCACAGTGGTAAGTGAAATACTCTTACTTAGAATTTTGCTCCACTGATTTTCCCACACCATATCGTCAGGTTCACCTTGACTTTCTCCTACCAAACACATCCTTAGATTCCCCAATTTCAAACAAACCTGACTTATGTAACTGCTGATGTTTCTCTTTCCTTTTTCATCAGACTTCCCACAATAGTCCACTCTTGCTGTTTCTTGTCATTCCTCCCACACAATGCACCATCTTGCTTTTACTGAGGTCTCTCCCTGCCACATCCAACATACACTATTTTCCAGATCTTCCCAGTGATCTGCTAAGTTTACTGACATCACTGCTGCTGCCTTGCTTGAAATACTACTTCCTTGTTCATGAGGTGTGCTCGTCGTTCATTTTCTCTCTCATCTTTCTCCTTTCTCTCCCCAGGCAGAAGGGCACAGCAGCTGGGCTCTGGAGGCACTTCCTGACTCCACTTACTGCAGATTGTGATGCTTAGCCTTTCTGAGTCAACTTCTTTATCTATAGAAATGGGGGTAATAACAGTTCCTCACCCCTAGCATTGCTGTAAAAATTGAAAGATCCATATAAAATACACATTAGTTATTGCTATTACTCTGTACCCATCCCTGTCAAGACCCAGCCCCCTGACCACCTAGTGAGTCACCTAAGGTCTTGACTCCTTTTTTAGTCTCCCAAATATCACCATATCCTACTGTGATTACCTTCTAAATATTTCTCATGTGTCTCTGCTATTTCTTCTGATCCCATTTATCTCTCATCTGTTTGCATCATTGCCAAAAGTCTCCTAACTAACCTCCCTGCACCCATCTGGGCCATTCATATACATCTTTCAAGATGCCCTAGGTGTGAGGTATGTAATGCACATTTGAAGAGGTGCAAACCGATATTCCTAAAATGTATAGTAACCAAGGTTACTGAAGTTAAGAAATAAAATATCCTAAGGTAATCTTTCCCACATATAAATCTGCTTGATTGTACCTTCACTCCCTAAAAATTTTAGTAGTTCCTGACTGCCTGGAGTACAATAGTAAGTTCTTGTAATAGTGTATAAGCAAAGGCTTCTACAATCAGGCTACAGGTTCTGAAGCCAACCCTATGTATGCTTTAGACTCTAGAATATATATATATATATATATATATATATATATATATATAAAAGGCACATATCCCACTTCATACTTTCATAACTGAGAGCAGTTATGGAATGGTTATGTTACCTACTTTCTGCTACCCTTTAAATTCTCACAAAAATGTTACCCTTCACTCAGCTAACTCCCGTCATTCTTTCAAGATTTACCCTACATATTACCTCCTCCAAGAAGCCTTACTTGATCTCCTAAGTCCATTTTAGTGGGTGCCATTTTTAGTGTTCCAAGAATATCCTGTACAATACATACCACCTGAGTTGAACAAATTATCCATTTATTTACACATATGTCATCTCCATTAGACTGTAAGCACAGGAGTTCAATTTATATACATCTAGCTTAGAAGGACTCAATAAATATTTGAAGTAGAGTGTTAAAGCATGAAAACTGAACTTTCCATAACTATAAAATAAAAACTCCATTTCAAATGTGTTTCACACATGTCCTATCTCAGAAAGATATCACAGTTCATGTGACTAGGAAACTCTTCTACTACAGACAAATTCAGTAGGTAAAATTATAGTACCATCAATGTATGTGAATGAATCCAGAAGCCACCCCCAAATTCCCCACAAATTCAATGCAATTCCAAGGTTTTTAGTAAAATTTGACAAGCTGATTTGGTTGGAATGATTGACTCTCCATTTAGAAAAAGTGTAAGTACACATTATTATAATTTCAAAATGGTTTAAAGAGTTAGAAGCTTTTCTAAAAAAGAACATAGCTTACTGGAAGAAAACATATTTATAATGAAAAAATCAATAGTTTTATCTCAGATGAAAAAGGTCTTCCTCAGCAAAACATAACATCCAGAAATCAATGAAAATAGATTAAATTACACTTAAAAAAGTTTAATCATGTATCAAAAAAGACATAAAAACAATCAAAACACAAACATCAGAATGTATTAGAAGTGCCTACAAATTAATGAGAAATAGACCTCCATACAAAAAAGGAGACACAATAAAAAACAAAATTAATAGACGAAATCAACTGGCTAATAACAGATACACTTTATAAATGTAAAAATATAATCATGAATACAAAGTGAGATATTGGTTGCTATTTTTTCCTAGGTTTGCAAGAATCAAAAGGATTAATAATATCCAGTATTAGCAAATGTATCAGGAAATAGGTATTTATATCCTAACAAGTGGTTAAACTAGTGTAACTTTTTGAAAAGCAACCTGGCAATATGTAGCATTCTGAAGATACACATCCACTAAATGAACAGTTAAACTTCTAAGAATGATAGTTCCTAAGAACAATGGTAAGAAAACTATCCATAAGGGAGTAGTTTTTAAAGGGACTGTTATCTATCTATACAGTGCTCTATGGTGAAAATGAATGTAATACATCTACACACACTGGCAGAAGTATTCTAAAAGTAAACTGTCAAATGAAAAAAGCAACTTGTAGGATATGTATAATGGTGCACCCATCGATAATACCAATAATGGCCATCCTCTCCCCCCCAAAAAAAATTCTTCTCATTTACTAAGCTGAAACTGGCTTTTTCTAAGGTATTTACAACTATTGTTTAGTACCACATTACCCACAACTATAGGACGGTATTCCTCCTTACAAATCAGACAGATAGGCAAGGTCACTTGTCTCACAGCAAGTTATAGTTCAAATTGAATCTGCACAGATCAAAAACCCATGCTCCTAACCATTACACAATGCTAATTTGTTAGGAAAGAAGGTTAGAAAGCCTGGTATGATACAATACACAGGAGCATGGAAAACTGAGAAAATCAGAGTCAGAAAGATTCATGTTCTCTAGTTCATGATTTTGACCTAGAAGAAGACAAAGGCAATGGAACCATTTTCATGAGGCGATAGTTAAAAACAGTCTTTATCCAATCCTCTTTGCTCCCAGAACTCA